ATGAAAGTTAGAACTAGAGAACATACGCAATCCATGCATTAACTTCTTCACAATTAAGCAAAACATAAAGTTCTACTGCCTTTAATTCTTTGGGTGATAGTGCACACATACGCATTTCTCCATCTAGTGGTTGACCTCGATGTTTAAAGACAGACAAACAATTATCCATATCATTATTCATGCCGACAATGTTTCTTGGTTGACAATTCAATCTTGTCTCTATGTCAGATCCAAAATAATGCAAGCAAAAGAAGGTAATTTCTGAAAGAAGATTAGACTTGCAAATTGAAGTTTCAACATGATTTTTGTTCAACACCGTTTTCTTAAGGTGATGCATTTTTCTATTAAACAAATAAGAAAATTAATTAATAACATTAAATTATTAAATATGCTCATGAATGTTATTGTGATGCAAAGATATATTAGAAGAAATATACCTTTTAAAAAGATACATCCAACGAAATTGGATAGGTCCTCCAACTTTTGCCTCATATGGTAGATGGATAGCCAAATGCTCTATCAAGTCAAAGAATGCTGGTGGGAATACTTTCTTTAGCTTGCAAATGGTTTCAGTAAATTTTTTTTCCCACATCTCCATGTTACTGACTTGAATAATCGAAGCAGTTAAAGCTCTAAAAAAGTTACTAATCTCAGTTAAGGGACCTCAAACTTTATCTATGAGGAAATGATGGAAAGCAATTGGCAAGAGACGCTGCATGAATACATGACAATCATAGCTTTTCATCCCAAACAATCGAAGTTCCTGCATGTTAAGACATCGTGCTATGTTGGATGCATACCCATCTGGGAATCTTAATTCCTTTAGCCACTAACAGATAAGAGCTCGTTGCTCTCAAGTAAGAACATATGTAGCATTCGATTTTATAGCTGTTCCATCATCTTGAGGTATCAATTCTAATTCAGATCGATTGCAATATAATTGTAAATCCAGTCTAGCATTGGTGTTATCCTTTGTACAACCCTTGTAATTCATGATAGTATTTTTAATGTTATCTAAAAAATTCTTCTCACAATGCATGACATCAAGGTTATGACGAATCAATAAATCCTTCCAGTATGGCTATTCCCAAAATATACTACATTTCACCCAATTATGAAAAACACCAAATCCTGCAATTGAATGTTTACCAAGTGACCAAAGACTATGTTAGGGAGTTGATTAACCATTTCTTCCATCAAAGTACCATCTAGTCTTGGGGGGGGGCTTTTTTCAACTCTATTGAGATAAAAATTTTTCGTATCTCTATGAAATGGATGTTTAGGAGGTAGAAATTGACGATGACAATCAAAAAATGATGTTTTCCTCCCATATTAAAGTTGAAAAGCCTTAGTGTTCTCCATACAATAAGGGCATGACACCTTCCCATGTGTGCTCCATTCAGATAACATGTCATAACTTGGAAAATCACTTATAGTCCATAGCAATGCAGCTTTCATGATACAATTTTGTTGTTTGAAACTATCATAAGTTTCAACCCCATTTGTTCACAATTCCTTAAGTTCATCAATTAATGGCTCAAGCATGACATCAATGTTTTGTTCCTGAACTTAAGGTCCAGCAATTATCATGGCAAGAAATATATGCTCTAACTTCATACACAATTTAGGAGGAAGGTTGTACACTGTAAGAAAAACAGGCCAACAAGAGTAAGGTGTTGTAGAGCAACCAAATGGATTGAAATCATCTGTACAAAGGCCAAGTCTAACATTTCTAGGTTCATCAGCAAATGTTGGGTGGGTTTCATCAAAGTGTTTCCATGCCTCACTACCCACAGGATGAATAACTTCATTCGCATCCTCACGGCATTTCAAATACCATGTCATGTGCTTTGTTGTTTTTCTAGACATGTATAGTCACTGCAATCTTGGGGTAATTGGAAGGTGCCATAAAGATTTCCTTGGAATATCTTTCTGTCTTATAGTAGACATATTCCTCGGCTCATAACAGGATTCTCCACACACTGGACAAGTAGTTAAATTCTTACTTTGCTCATCATAGTACAAGAAGCAATCATTGACACAAATATCAATTTTCTTGTACTCAAGTCCAAGCACATTTATCATTTTTTTTAGCATTGTAGAAATCCTTTGGCACATTTTCTTGGTCCTCTGGACTCAACAACTTTCGACTCAATGACAATGCCATATCCCAATTAGCAGCACTTATATTATAAAGAGTTTTCATGTTTAGCATTTTTGTCATCCATAAAAGTACTGTAACATCCTGTCCCCCAGCACCTATATGAACTTTGCAGCATGCAAGAGATCATAAAATTCTCTTGCCTTACTATTTGGCTCATCAACCATTGCCATGTCATTGTATTCAGACTGTGCACCCATTGCATCAACTACCATTTCATGGTATAATGCATCTACCTCATTTCTAACAAACTCCATATTAGAAGATTCCCCTTCAAAGTTTTTTACTGTATTGCTAGATGTGTCTCCATGAACATACCATGTGTAATAGTTATTCATAAACCCATACTTACACAAATGCACATAGACAACCTTAGGATTCCCCCATTTTCTACATTTACATTTTGAGCAAGGACACTTAATCTCTGATTTTGCTGTCGGTCTTGAAAATGCAAATCTCACAAAAAATTGCGCGCCCTCTTTAAATTCATCGGTAACAAAACCACTATCATTTACATGACGATCTATCCAACTACGGTCGTCCATCATTTAATTACCTAATTTGAATTTGAATTTGACAAAGTATATTAACATATCAACTAATAACCATACATGTCAATAACCACACATGTTAATCTTAATCTTAATAATTTTAAATTAAATTTTTTTATGTATATAAATTTAATATATAAAAATACTATTATATTTCAACAATCATACATATATTAATCT